TTCGTTAAACTGCTTAAAAGACAAAGAAACCTCAAAATGGTATCAGAGATTGACAGACAGAAAAAATTGTGTCCTGTTTTTTTTTTTTTTTTTTTAGGTCGTCCACTACAACTTAACATCATCGGCTAAATTGGATATCTTATTGCAGATAAATAAGGCTGTGAATCAAGCTGTTGTTTATAATGTTACTTCCTGAAACCACAGAAGAATGATTTGCCTGTTAGGGAGTTTCCAAACATTTCATCTTAGGAAGTACTTAGTTCCAGTTCCTATGAAAAAATATTCATTTCCATGTACATTTTTTCCTTTTATTGCTATTATAAATCAGTCATGGTCATTATAAATTAGCTTTTTTGACGAAAAAAATATAAAGAAAAATTCTTATTATTTTGTCTTACTCAATCTTATTGCCATTTGTGYCCACACATTAAATATCTCATGACCATGTATTATGTCGTGCCCACATCTTATTATCTTGTGATGATAAGATAGTATGGGCACCCATTATGCTTTTTTTATCCATTGTCACCAGATAGGCTCCCTAGTGTGGTATGTCATCTGCTAAAGATAGGACATAATTGCAGCATAATTGTTTCCTTTCCCTCTGGACGGTACGTGTGCCTGATCAGCAGAAGTGAAACAGACGTCACACCAGCCCAGCAAGAAACCTTGCTAATTTGTTTATCTGCTTTGCTTATCTCTTCCTAGCTTTGGGGTACTCTGTTCAATTTTATTTTAGCTTATCATTTTCTTCCTGGGTTGTTGCAACTCTCAGCCTTGGTTTTAGGGTTGTTTTATTCTGTTGCTCTGAGTTAGTTGATTCAACTGGATCCTGCTTCTGCTAACTTGTTTTGTTGCAGCCTTTCTGATTCATTGCAACCAGACAGTATCTCACTGACAAGGACTGACTCATATTAGAGCCATTGCAATTCTGTGTTAATGCAAGGCCCAAATCCCAATTTGTTTTGTATTTATTTATTTGTTATTTATATTTAGTTATGMTTTGTAAGTTGTACTATGTTTCTCTGTTACAGGTTGATAGTGGAAAATGGTCTTGGTTTCCTCTGTGCAATGTGCTGTGTGTGGGGGTTCTCCCAGCTCTCATACTGTGAATCAATCAGTTTTGGGTGGATGGACTAAATCATTTTATTTTTGTCATAACAAACACTTGGTGGTGAAGCCAGTCAAATTTTTTAAAGTGGTCAGGATGGGACCACCGGTCACATATGGGGGGCCCAGAAAATGATATATTTCTTTTTCTACWTAACAATTTGCTGAAGATCTAATTATTTTTCTTGGTAATTCTCTCATTTACTTAAACAGTCAGTGATTACCATGTCGAGTTACAATATGAGAAGACYGGGGTTAGACAATGAAARMGAAACARCTGGTTTTAGACCATATCATCCCTTTCAGACAGCTTCCTCTTGCGTCCGCAGTTAATCCTGTTGGATGTGGTTSYTCCTRCTTGGTGGWATGCTGACATTACCCTGGATACTGTYGCTCTTGATACATCACAAAGACTTAATGTCTTGGTCAAAGATGCACCAGCAAGATGTGCACCAACAGTTTGTCCTCTTTTGAACTCTGGTATGTCACCCATAAAGCTGTGCGCATTGCAATATTTTGAGCCAAACTGTGCTCTTACCCTGCCATTTGAACCTATACACTCTGCTCTAACTGGTGCAATGTGAAATTAATGAAGATTGGCCACCAGGCTGGTCAAATTTAGCCATGAAACCTCCCACACTACTCTCTTGCTTACCAACAATCCTGGGGCTTAATTATTCCCTGAGTGAAAGTCCAAAGGTAAAGAAAAACTTGTAAATTTCAACTAAAAATGTTGAATAAAAAACAGCTATAACACTTAGCTGCCACACAAGCAGCAACAGTTTGTTTGTGTCAGGTATTCTCATCATTCTAAAATGTTAGAACACAGTCAGCACATCTTTTTGTTTGTTGTAGCAGTGCAATGAAAGTCAGATCACATTCAAATTTCACTCGGATAAAAAGATGAGTGTGGTGCTACAAAAACCTAATCCTGCTCCAAGGGAAAGATAAAAAAACTTCACAGTGACAATTTGATATTTAAAGCTATTTAATGCATAATTCAGTGCTGAGTGAGTGTGAAAGATGCATACAAATCCCATCAGAATTAAAAGGCAAACGTTTCCCCACTCACCAAACTGTGAACTTTTTGTTTCGTTGTGTTGTTCTCCTCTGCCTCCACATTTAAGAGGATCCAAAAAGAAGCATCTAAAGAAAGTAAGAAAAATGTAAGATTCCATGAATTTAATAAACTTTAAAAAAATTAATAATCAAAGAAAATCAAATAATMCTTACTTTGATTGGAACATAACTGCCTGATACCACAGTTTAACAGAGGTGTTCCTGCAAAATAGGGATCAGAAAGAAAATGTCAAAAAGAAAAAGGGACATTTTGTTTCATGCATGAGAAACACAATGCACCACACCATCTCTAATTACATGCCTGTAGAAATAAARACTAAATATCTATTGTATGTGGACTAACCTATAAATAACCTAACCTGTAATAAACAATGTTCCTTGTGAGCTTTGTTTGACATACAGAGTTGTGATTAGATGAAAGCTAGTGCTTGTTGAGACCTAATTGGTTGGTTATTGTGATTTTTTTCTAAATATGCCTGCATTGAGTAGTGTTCAAGTATTAAACCTCAAAAACTGGTGTCTATTTCTCATCAAAATAGTAATTTCAAGGTGAAGCAAACAGACAGTTTCTATTCACAACTTATAACTGTGCTCCAGTAAAACTTTCAATATATTCATACAAATACAAAGTGGTAAAACCCCCTCACACACATACACACACTTCCACGCCACCCCTGGGAGTTTTGGAAAGTCCATGCCTTTTTGTCCACACATCTTGAACTCTTATACAGTAGCTGTCAATTGCTTTGCATTTCCCATATGGAAACACTACATTATGCTTTTTTTGTGTTTCTGAAAGTAAAAACCTCCCAATGGACTTCTGAGCAAAACCTTCCTCTGTAAAAGCCATAACTACAATTTGCCTATCAGTTGCAAAAACAAACATTTCACTTAGATTCAAACAATCATCTAGGCTATTAGGCTATGCAGCTCACAGAAGGCTAAATTAACTGAGAGACCAGTCTGCATTTCTACAATAAGGTGGTCCTATCTATAAGCTGCTCGCATTAGAAGGGTAATAACATCAATGGCTGGAAAGCTGAAATGAAAATGAGAAATGCACTACTAAAATAATAAATTTATTTATAAATGTAGGAACATAACTTTTATTACGCCTAATATCTGGCAAGCTGAGTGAGCGGCAGGTGAAATTAGGAAGAATAGACTGAATAGAAAGGAGAAGTATTGTGAAAGCTTGTTTAAACAGGCATTGTGGTTAAATTTGACTTACCAGTTGAAAGTGGGTAATTCTTTCCACTTTCAGTTCCTGCAGAAACAATGAATTCAGTAACTGGACTGATCACTCTGGCATTACAGTAGTGTTAGTTGCATAAGGGCAAACACAAATTCACTATCTCTTACCAACAATAACGTGTTCTAACGTAAATATTTAGACAAAGACAAACCATGCATGAGGTTTTGTGAGTCACCTGAATCTCCATCTTTAGTGGCTGTGATTAAATCAACTTCTCGTTTCAGTCGTTTGTGGGCTACAAAACAAATGAAGACATGCAACATTCAACATGCTCTACTGTGGTTATAGAAGAAGACGATGCACTGATGAATGTTGTGTTGTATTATCGATGGTCTAAAGGTAAAAATATGTTGGCCAATTCTAGATGGAAATAAAGACTTCCCAAAGTGTTTTTTGAAAAACTTGTAAATAAATGCACAAAATCTGTAAAAATTAAAATAAAAATAAAAAAATCTGGTTGTGTGTTGGACTTATTTTTTTATCTGCTGTAATTAAGTCAATCCACTTATACCAGATTACACAGTATAATTTATATCTGCAGCATAACAGAGTGTGATGTTTTGTAATAACGTCTGGTGATATTTTGACAGTGTGTCTGCAAAAGTTAGAAATTTAATTTAATTTATTTATTTATATTTTTGCCTAAAAAACTGCAGTAAAACAGGTTAAGCTGCATAATTAAAAGCTGTCAAAAACGTAATGTAAAGATACATACATATGAATGCTTTTTTCAACCTAAAGCGACTTTTTTTGCATTGATGGTATATAATTCAACATAAAGCAATCCTGCATTCTGTTACAAATGCAGTCAAAAATTAGTAGAAATTGTTATTCATGCAAAATAAAAAAAGAAAGTTGAGAGTGCGGCGAATTAGTCTAWATGAATCATGAGGAAGAATTTTTCTTAATCAAATCTGTCTCACCACAGGAGAGATTTGGATCTGTTTCTTTGGCTTTGGAACTGGTCACTGCCCAGTTTTCTGCATTCCATCTGATCACAGTCCCTTCATCGCAGGCCTTGTGAACGCCCAAGTCTGCCCACATACGGAACAGGTACAGCTCCACTTTCCCCAACTCGGCTCCTGGTAATTGATTTCTGTGACGACAGCCCAGCCACAAAGAGCTGGCTGGAAGAAGGGTCTGAGCGATGATTGTTCTTTCTGCAACTGTTGTCCCATTTACCTAAATAATTCATGCAGCCTGTGTTAGGGTTCTATGTGAAAAAGAACAATTTTCATCTAAAAAAGTAATAATACATATACAGTTTGTCTGTCCGTTTAGGTTTTTTTTTAACGTTTAGCTATCTTTCAAATATAATGCAAAGATAGCAAATACATTTCTAGCAAGCATTTTCAATATTTTGTCTACCAAACTTCATTTACAGTAAAACCAGTTAAAAGCAGAGTAGTTCTTAAAAGTTACTTTTGTTACTTTTACAACTAATTATTCCTTCTGTCCTGTCAGCAAAAGAGCTCAAACTCAGGGGCGGAGCCAGACTCCTTTCAAAAGCGGTTGCACAGGGATATTTAGGGTTCACATAGCACTCTGTCTTTAAACAATCAAGATGGCTGCAATAACTAATTCCAAATTCATTTAATTCAGCTGTTTTAAAAAAATGTTGAGAAGAAAGTGTTTGTGATCGTAGCAAAGAATGATAAAAAATTTAAAAATTAAGAGCATGCTGAGTGCTAGTCACAACTTAATATTCAGTCATTTTTTTATGCATACAAAGCTGAAGATTAGTGTGTAGAAGCTGGAAACAATCTGCACCAAATTCCAAATGCTGATCAAAAAATTCAAGATGGCCACCAGATAACTTTAAAAAGCTATAGTTTAGGCTTAAGACATGAGATGAAATTTGTTGTGGAGTATTTAAGAATGATCACATAACGATTGTTAATTCTAATCCCATATTAAGATAACCACTAATGCTAATGCTAAGTTTACAAAAGGCTATAATTCAGCTATTTTAAACATACACAGCTGAAAATCTATGCAGTACAGTTGCATCAGAGAACGAACTAACTAAATCTAAATACAAATAAAAAATCCAAGATCCCCACCCACTTTTCAGTTATTTGGGTGCGGCACCTAGGGTGGCCAATCAGGTGCACCCCGGCCACCTCTCTAGCTCCGCCCCTGCCCCAGATTCAATTTATAACTGAGCATATGAACACATTACCTCCAGGCTAAACATGTCTCTTGACATGTCTCTCCTTAAACAAATACTGTGCCAGTGGGTTGGAGACATGTGAGTTGGAAAACGGTGTCGAACTTGTAGCAGCCACACATATATTGCCTGAGAGTCTCCCTCCAAGCCTAAGTCAGGATTAGGTGCATATGCTGAGCCATAAGAGAAGGCCACCCAGGCTCCAGGAACAACCACACGAATATCCATACACACAGTCATCTGAGAGAGCTGTGGCATGGTGGTGTTTGGCGGGCTTTGAAAGGTCCAGTGGTCTTCGCAGCCATTTAATACTGCCTTGGTGTTTCCCAGGAAATATCCATGTCCTGATAAAACAATCACATTTTGCAGAGTAATATTTTAACACAAATTATAAGGCAAAATTTAACTTAAAATTCAAAACATATTTTTCATATAATTACTATTATATTTTCCTTCACAAATGGCTTTTTACCTGCAGGTGGAGAAACTGCTGACAGGAAAAAACAGATGACTTGAAGGAAATGAAGTCTCCATTTCCATGTTCCTTTAAAGCAAACACCACACATCCTCCTAGAATTATAAGAACACAGCTGTCTTATTGATTCACCTTTWTACTATTAAACTTAGCTCATCTCTGAGATAAGCAAACTGAACTCTTTTTTTTAATTTGGTTACTCATTCTCTTCTGCGTAATTTGCTATTTTCACAGCATCTCATAGAAACAGCTGTGGGAATATCCACTACGTCTCCTTTACTGTAAGATAAAACGATATTATTCATGCTTTTGTGTGCATGGAGGACAAGACTGTGGGGCAGGGAGGGGTGGACACAGTGGGTTGAGTTACACACCTCACAACATTCACACCTTTCAAAGAGGAGAGTTATTGTTACAAGAACGTTGTTTCTAATAAATTTCATGTCACGCATGTATAATTTACATTATATACTTTATACAATACTTTGACAAATCCAAGGCATCCAACATAAAAAGTTTCTATTGTAAATACCTCAAGTTCATTTTATTGTAATTAATATTTGTTCACAAGTAACCTTCATGACACATTTGATTTGGCTAAATATAAAAATTGGATTTTAGAAGAACATTTTAGATTAAAAACGTAGTGGAAAACCAATTTATGTTGAAGCCATAACATTTTTTAGACTTCTTTAATATTAATTAATTAATTTTTCTGTGGCAGCTCCTAAATTATGGAACGATCTTCCTTTGGACGTCAGACAGGCGTCGTCCCTGTCTGTTTTTAAATCTCTTCTTAAAACTCATTCTTTTTCTCTCTGGTCTTTGAAAATAATTTGTAA